ATGCTGCGCGCGCCGCGGACCCTGGCTCCGGCCACAGCAGCGCAACCCACAAAGAGCTTGCCCGCGTTGAACCCCACCGAGCTGTGGCCTCCAGGTCTCAGCAGCCCCCAGCTCTGTCCGGCCACCACCACCACCTACTACGCTTCGCTCTGCACGCAGACGGTGCCTTCCACTGCGGCGCTGGGCACCTGCCTCGACGCCACTCCCCACGGACCTGAGGGCCAGATTGTGCGATGTGTGCCCGCAGGCCGGCTGCCGGTAATGCTGGGGACCCCCCCGGTGCTTCCCATATGTGTGTCTGGGTGGGGAAAAGGAAGGAGGGCGCCTGGGGCTCACTTTGAGTACAGCTGGTTGAGGTGGGGAAGTGGGACTGACTGGCAGTGTTTTCCTACGGTGTGAAATAATCTCACCTGCTGTTGTGGAGTGTGATGAGCACTGGACTGGGTGCCTGGAGACCCAGCCCAGTGTCCACGGAGCCAGTGTGACCTTGAGAGAGTCCACAAGGCATAGACATTGCTAAAGTTCATTCATTTCTTCGCGTTGTTTCTACCAGAAACCAGCACCTGCTATGTCAGGCCAGGGGCTTGGCCTGTGTGATTTCCTGGTTTGACAGGAGAGTAAGTCCAGAGGTCTCTGGGCCGGCCTGGTATGGACAAAGTGGTCTAGCCAGCTCCTTCTCAAGTGTTGTCCTCGGGTCCTCCCCAGGGCCTGGTCATCCTCTGAAATAGCCAGCAGCAGATGCAAATGTAGCCAGCCTGTCGGAGTTCCTGTTCGGTTGGACTGTGTCGTCCTCAGACCTGCGGATCTGTTGTCAAGGAGGCCTGGTGTGGTGGCTTGGGGCGGTAGCACAGGGCGCCTGGGATAGGAGTAGGAGCCGCCTTAGGGTGGAGGTAGAGTGGGAGAAGGCCTGGGGGTGGGGGGTAGGAGCGAGGGTTGGAGAGCTTCGTTTCAACTGCTGGTCCTCACTGTGTATTTGGATAAGTCAGGGTCTCTGTTTCCTCTTTCCAAAGTTTTAAGCTTACATCCCTGTGGGGGAGGGTGCTCCTTGTACCACATCGTGTGGTACAAGTGGTCAGAGGACAACTTTCAGAGTCGGTTTTTTTACTTCTGAGTGGGTCCTGGGGTTCAAACTCAAGCTGTGGCGCTTGGTGGCAAGCTCCCCTACCCACTGAGCCACCTTGCAGCCCATGTTTCCTCTTCTAGAAAATGCACCTTCCCTGGCTTGTCTCCTCTGTCACTTCCAGCTCAGGTTTTGGAAGCAGGTGCCAGGGAGGGGAGATGATATTTGTGGTGTGTGGTAAGTCTAGGGACAGGGATAAGAACACCCCGTGTCCCCTGGGCATTCTGGATGACCTATGCATCTGTCTGTCCTACCTTCCCAGGACGAACTTGGGGCTCAGTAATCTTGGGAGCTACATGGATCAACTCTCTGGCTACAGGCAGAGCCACACTAGAGAGCATTTGGAGCCAAGCTGTGTTTTCCCTTCCCAGATCCCTTTCCTGTGAGCGCAGGAAGTGTCTGGGCTGTGCTGTCATCCCTGTTTTACAGGTCAAGATGTTGAGGATAATTCTCATGCCTTGTCTGATGTTCAGCATTTTCCGGCCTAATGCATTTATCTGTGTAGCTTGTAAAGCAGATTGAACAAGAAGCTTTGTGTCGGAGAGGTGGAAAACCGAGGGTCAGAGGTCATATGGGAGATGGGTCTGGTGATCTAACCCACCAGCAAGTTCTCTCTATGCAGCCTTGGAGCTAGGTGGCCCCAGGAAAGGGGACTCTGTGGCAGGCTAGTCTCTCCTTTGACCACCTGCTTTGGGATGTAGAGTGTCAGTAACAGCTGGGGTTCTGAGGCTGCGTTGGACCTTCCCCACCAACTTTGCATCTGTCTCGTTCTACCCTCCCAGGGCGGGCTCAGGGATCTTAGCCAGAGCAGCTCTTGCATGCCAGGTACTGCTTGGCACTCTTCACCAGTTATCCTGGTTAAGATGCCCGGGATGAGGCACTCTGCAGGTGAGGAAACCGAGCAGAGGCGAAGGCACTTGCCCACGTTACAAGCCAAGGAGGGGGGTGTCCTTGCATCATACTCGGTAAAGGCTTGCCAGGCCCAGAGCCCATCTCTGGTCCATCTCCAGATGCTGGGGCCCCAGTGCCCCGTGGGCAGGCCTAACCCCCCTGCTTACTCATTTTACAAGGGTGTGACCTGGAGTTGCTCCAAACCCAACCTTGGGTGTGGCCTTCTGCTTTGTGGCTGCAAAGTGTGGGGTGAGCAAGATTTGTTGGGGAGCTGACCTTTAAAGGCATGGTAACCAAGTTGAGTTGCAGAAGTAAGGACCCAGGTCTCCTTGCTTCTAGGCCACTGTTCTGCTGTCCTCTAGAAAAGGCTGAGGGCCACCCCTTTGTGGGGTCTCACCTCTGGCCTTTTCTGTCAGTCCTACAAACTGGCTTCTGTGAGGACAGTGGGGGCTCTTGGGTGAGTTTTCTTTGCCTCTTAATTTGTCTAGTCTGTCCACATTACTGTCCTGGAACTCATTCTGTAGACTAGGCTGGCCTCGAACTCAGAGATCTGCCAGCTTCTGCCTCCTAAATGCTGGGATTAAGGGCGTGCGCCACCACACCTGACTCTTGTTGCTGTTGGGATAGGGTCTCACTATTGCCAGGCTGGTCCTGAATGCCTAGGCTCAAATGATTCAGCTAGGCTGAGCAAACATACACTCCAGTAGTCCCAAGCACTGGGGAAACTGAGGCAGAAAGATTGTTGAAAGTTCCAGATCCAGCTGGTCATGGTGGCGTATTTAGGTCTTTGATTCCAAGACTGCACAGGCAGAAGCAGGTGGATCTCTGTGAGTTTGAGATCAGCCTGGTCTAGGACAGCCAGGGCTGCATAGTTATACCCTGGTTCAAGATAAACAAGCTCCTGCATCAGCCTCTCCAATGGCTTGGACTGTGTGTGTGTGTGTGTGTGTGTGTGTGTGTGTGTGTGTGTGTGTACACACTCTACTGACACCAGGTCAGAATATGACAAATAGACTCAGGGACAGGATGGAAGTCCCAGGCTGTTCTGCCGTCATGGAACATTGGAGCCGACAGCTAAGTGATCCCTAAATTTGTTCTCACTCCAGTTCCTGACTAGGTTGGAAAGGAGACCCAGGTCCCTGCTGTGTGACCTTGAACAAGTCACTTCCCTCTCTGGTCCAGATACTCTCTTGGTTGCCCTACCGGCTCCTCCGTTCCTCTAGGGCTACCTGAACAAGGGGGTGTTCTGTCCTCAAGGGCTTGGCAGGTGGACTTAAAAGGGGCTGCTTCAGAGGGTCCAGATTAGATCCACACTGGCCTCTGGGTGTGGTCACAGACCTTTGCTCTGCTTAGCCCCTGCTGTCTCCTCTTTGTTCACCCTTGAACTTCACCCACGGTGATACCCATGCCTGAGTGGCGGGAGGCCCCGCACTGGCCTGGACAGGGTACACTTACTGACTCTCAGCTGGAGCAGACTGACCCAATTCTATAGGTGGCTCAAGGCCACCTGACTTCTCAGCTCACCTCAGGAGGGAGAAGCCTAGCTTTGACCCCGTCTGACCCCAAGGCCTGCCCTCAGCCTCTCCTGCTGCTTGTCCTCGGGCGCCTGGCGCTGTAGGCTCAACCCAGTCACGTGACAGTACCCAAAGGTGTTTCGGCTGGTGTCCTTAGTGGGGACACTTTGTTACTTAGGTCCCCTGGAAGTCCAATGAGTGTAGGACGTAGTGAGAGAAGAAGAGACGGTGTGAAGTCGTGGGAGCAGATGACAGCCAGACCTTAGCCCACATTCTAGCAATTCCTGAGGAATGTGTATGCACAGCTTCTGTGGCCTGGCCATGACTTTGGGGTTGATCTGGAACAGAGCCGGGTTCAAGCCCTGGCTCTGCTTTGTCTCTCTGACGTTAGGCCTACCTTGCAGCTTAGCCTCTCTGTATTCACATGTCTGCCAAGACAGACTACCAGTGCTGATCCACTTCAGGACTGAGAATGGGATCAGCTGGTCAGGGTTCTCTCCTGCGCCTGTCTGGCAGGAGGCAAGTGGCCTTCTGATGGGGGTTTAGGAGGGTGGGGTGAGCTGGAACTTGGCTTCATCAATCCCCTTGTCTCCTTGCCCTCGTATGGGGTCAGAGTGAACCGTTTTGATGAAGACAGTCTGTGGAACCCACCTGGCCTTATTACACCGGCTGTGCAAAGGGTGCTAACGGTGCTGGGTGCTGGAGGCTCACTTAGAGCCAGGCGCTGGAGCTCGGTTTGGATTGTGCAGCAGGTCTCAGCGGGTAACTGACTGGGCCCTTCTCTGATGACGAGGTGAGGGCTACTCAGGAGACACTGGCAGGGGAACAAGCAGGGAAATGTTTGGATTTTGTCCGAGCCTCCGTATGGGGTGGAGAAGTGGCATTCGGGCTCCCCGGGGCAGTGAGCAGGATTCTTTCACCAGTCCAGGGAGGCTTCCTGGAGGGGGCAGGAGTGGGGGGGGGGCGCCGACACCTGTCAGGCCAGCTGTGCTCAGCAGCAGTTAGAAGGCTCAGCCTTCCGGAGCGTGACCTCACCGCTAAGTGTTAAAACAGACCTCTCAAGTGGATGGGGGTGTCTGGGGGGGCAGGCGAGGAAGGAAACAGGCTCAATGGTCCCAGAGGGTGTGTCCAGGAAGATGTTGAGATGTGTTTGGGGAATAGACTGTGCATTTCCTGAGCCCCCTACTGGGTATCTCATCCTGGGAACTCCACAGAAGTTACTTCCAAGTCCTTGCCATAGTTCTTCAGGTCACCATGTTCTGCCCATTTTAGGGAGCAGGAAACTGAGGCTCTTAGCTATGGTGGCACATGACCTTAGGTCACACCGTGAGCCTTCAAAGGTGCTGGAGATTCCAGCTGGCTCTTTGCCCAGTGCCCCAGTGCCCCAGTGCCTCTGCCCCACCCCTGCCCAGCCCTAACCATCAGGGAGGCCCTTTCCGGGCAATGCAGCTAGAATGTGACCCTGTGGTAGTGGTGGTGGGTGGTGTCTGGGTAGAAAGGAGCAGATGGGTTGTGGTTTGGTTTCCCCAGCAGGTGTTTCCCAAGCTTGGCGGGAACGGGGAGGGGCAGCAGGGCCTCAGCTGCTTGTCCTTAAGACACCGGGGAAGGACTCATTGTGTCTCGGCAAAGAGAATGACAAGCCGTCCATTCAGGAGGCCCTGGACCCTCAAACTGGAGCCCAAATGGCAAGGGGGAGTGTTTGCACTGTTTCCCAATGTGGGCACCTCCCTGGGGTGTGGCGCTGAGCCAGGAAGTCCCCTGGGCCTGGGCGGATGCTGGTCCCACCCTGATAAGGGCCAGCTGTGGGGCTGTGATGGGCACCAGGTCTGTCTGGGCCAGCTGCTTCTGAAAGGGGCGGGTCCTCGGCCTGATGTGGTTTAGGTTCCGCCCACTTCTTCCTTCAAGTGTGTGTGTGTGTGTGTGTGTGTGTGTGTGTGTGTGTTTCATTGGGTAGATGCCTCCAGGGGCTGATCCACAGAGATGGGAATTTAATTGCCCCTCAGAAAATATGGCACTCGCTTCGCTGGGCACTGACATTTCCTCCCCAGGTTCAGTCAGCCACACTGTACCAAGGGCTGATGGCATACACACGGGAAGTGGCTGCCGGTGGGCTCCTTGCCCTGACTGCAGTTCAGAGAAAAGGCTAAGGAAGACCCAATTCTCTAACTCTTCTTCTTCCCCTCTCTCCTGTCTGTCAAAGGCCAAGAGGAAGCTGGACCTGGAGGGCATTGGGAGGCCTGCAGTCCCTGAATTCCGGACTCCCAAGGGGAAGTGCATCCGAGTGGATGGTTTGCCAAGCCCCAAAAGTAAGAGCTTCTGGTGGGCACCTGCAGCAGGGTGGCATGGGACAGGGGGTAACAGCTCTACCCAAGTCGCCAGCACCGGGGTCTGTTTCAGACTGTTTCCTTTTCCAAGGTTTCTGGTATATTCTCACACTTGATTCTGTCCAGGAATAGGATTGTGCCCCACTGACTGATGAGGCAGCTTGGAAGAGCTCAGGACTTGGCCAAGGTCACACAGCTAGTCCGTGGAAATGGAACTAATGCCTCACACTGCTTCTTAGCCTTCAGGCACCTGCTCCCCAGAGCTAACCACGATCGCCAGTGTTGATTTGGGAGCTTAATATATTTTTTTAAGTTTTCATAGATGGGTCAATCTGACTTTTTCTGAAAGACAGCTCTGGGGCTGGGGGTCAGTGGCTCACCAGGGTCTGTCTTCCACACGCAGACAGCCCTGGTTGATTCAAAGGGTGCTGAAGCTTGGAATAATCTCACCTGTGCCTCCCGACGATCTTGGGGCTGTCTGGCTAGAGCCTTCCTAAAGCTAAGCTGGAAAGAAGTCCTACAGCTGAGATTTCCAGTCAGTATTCTGGTTAAACTGGGAATTAAAACCAGTGTGTTCAGGAGATGTATGAATTTCCCCAGAGATCCAGTGAGTGCATGAAAGTCAGGAACTGGGAGCCCAGGTAAGGGCCCCCATGTGCCTTGACTGGCTCACCCTTTTCTGTGAACCCCTGTTAGCTCATGTAGATGAGACACAGCTAGATCAGGATGAGGAGAAAGTTTATTCTTCAACTGGCTGATTAGAGAGGTTACCTAGACCCAAGACTGATGGATTTCAAAGCTCACTCAGTAGAACTACAGAGCATAAGACACAGATCAACTATTAATGTCTGCCATGGACGCAAAACTGGACTAATCAATATGTGTGCCAAATGCTTGGCCTCTGCGTGTTAAGGGATTCTCAAGTCCCCTTCTAGAGGGATTTGTGACTAAAACTTAGTTCCCATGATTAGTTTGGCCACCAACTTCTATGTGACTTAAAGTCATTTGATTGCAAAAGTTCCTTTGTGGTTTAATTCGCTGCAGCTGAGATGTGGTATTGCAACATCACAGCCTCATTGAGAAAGGGACCTTTTCCACGAACCTGGTCCATTTGATGTTTGATGTTAGATGATTCCCCTCGGATAATTATTGGGCTACACATGGAAAGGCAAGGCGAATGTGGATCTATAAAAATGTTCTCAAATCCAGGCTTGCCCTTCCGTCCCGACCATAATTCCGAATTCCTGGTATAATTGGCAGGAGAGGATGGTTTAGGAGAAAGACTGGAGCCAAAGTGCCCGCGTTTGAATCCTAGTTTGCCACTTGCTGAGTGAAACGAACAAATTACGTAGTAAAAAAAAATCTGTGCTTCTGTATAACCTTGCCGGGCAATCGCTAAAGATAAATGCCCAGAACAGTGACCCTCCCAACAGTACAAAGTTGTTGGAGTGTTGCTATGTCTGTCTGTCTGCTCTGGAAAGGTGAACCCCGAGCCGCGACACTTGGCTTCCGGTCTCTGCAGCGCCCCCTGGTGGTAAGACTTGGAGCAAGTCTCTTTCTTCCGAGGTTACAGGGTCCTGGTCTGGGCGACAGTGCAGAATCCCCTGCCTGCGTGCTCTGCACGCTGGACAGCTCTCGGTGAAGGCTAGTAGAAGGTGTTGCTTAGTGGAGTTGAACTCCTGGAGAGAACCCAAGCTGTCTCCCCCGGAGCAGTGTGTGAGTGAGACATCTTCTTTCTCAGCCCCCAAGTCTCCTGGGGAGAAGACACGCTATGACACTTCGCTGGGGCTCCTCACCAAGAAATTCATTTACCTCCTGAGCGAGTCCGAGGATGGTGTCCTGGACCTGAACTGGGCAGCCGAAGTGCTGGATGTGCAGAAGCGGCGCATCTATGACATCACCAACGTGTTGGAGGGCATCCAGCTCATCCGCAAGAAGTCCAAAAACAACATCCAGTGGGTGTGAGTGCCTGGGCCAGGCCGTGGCACCATCCAATGGGTGCATCGTTGGGGGCGGGGCCTGGAGCAGTAGCCAATAGGTGTGAGTTTTGGAGTGCCCGCCCCAGCAACAGGCAATCCGCCCAAGTACCAGGTGGTGGTGGTAGGTGGCCAAAGCCAACCAATGGGTCTATGAGGAGGGGCGTGGCCAGTGTGTTGGAGTGGGATAGGACAGGTGTTAAATGCTGGAATAATACAGTAGAAAGAGCAAAAGGACCGGACAGAGTGGATGGAGTTCCAGGGGTTATAAAGGCCTGAGAACACCCCAGGTCCTGTGTCTCTGGTCCCTAGGGTCTCCCCTCTTAGGAAAGCCCCTTGGGAGCTGCACAGGTGTGGGTCAGACTCCTCTCCACAGCTACAAGGTCTGAAAGAACCTTGGCGTGAACCCTAAAGGAAACCCAGGAGCGGAGCCAGGGCTAAAGTCAATAGTTCCTTTCCATCTGGTGGAGGCTGGGGCCTACAGGTAGACCGTGGGGCTCAGGCTTCTTATCGCTAACCTACCGCCAAACTTCAAGGGATAGTTCACGACAGTTCCCAGGGAGCTAGGCATCACCACCGATTTGCACGACATGGCACGGGGCACCACTGGAGACTTGCTCTGGCTTGGGGTTTCGCTAGCTCCCCCATGCAGTTGTGCAGGGCAGCCTTGACGGTAGGGTCCGCGAATATGGACTCACACCGACAATGGGGGCGGCTCTGTTCCCAGAGGCAGGGGAATATTTGAAGACCCCACCCGACCTGCGAAGCAGCAGCAGCTGGGGCAGGAGCTGAAGGAGCTGATGAACGCGGAGCAGGCCTTGGACCAGCTCATTCAGAGTTGCACGCAGAGCTTCAAGCACCTGACCGAAGATAATGCCAACAAGAAATATCCTTCCTGCGGGGACATGGGGGAGGGGCAGGGCAGCTGGCTGTTGACTTCTACACTCAGTTGCTTTCTTACCTCCTTATAGGGACAGCTCCCTCTATGGGGCTGTCATATCTGTGTCTCCCTCAAGTAGGGAAATTTGGGGTTTGTTTTTCTTTCTTTCTGTTTTTCTGGTTTTTCTAGACAGGGTTTCTCTGTAGCTTTGGAAACTGTCCTGGAAATAGCTCTTGTAGACCAGGCTGGCCTCGAACTCCCAGAGATCCGCCTGCCTCCGCCTCCCGAGTGCTGGGATTAAAGGTGTGTGCCACCACCTCCCGGCCTCTTTTTTTTTTTTTTAAAAATTTTTATTTATTTTATATATATGAATGTTCCATCTGCATGAACAACTTTATGCCAGAAGTGGGCATCAGATCCCACTCTAGACGGTTGTGAGCCATGATGCGGTTGCTGGGAATTGAACTCGGGATCTCTGGAAGAACCGCCAGTGGTCTTAACCATCTCTCCAGCCCATTTTGTTTTGTTTTTTTTTCTTTTGTGAGATGTTGGCACAGAGATTTAGGTGCCATGCCTGGTACCCAACTGTGTTGATAAGGGCTAGAATGGGTGTTTGGATCCAGTCTAGATTTCCCTTCATAGTTTTCTGTTTAGTTTTTACACTTTTTCTTTTTTAAATTGCATGTATTTATGTGGGGGGCACATGTGTGGAGGTCAGGACAGTTAGTTAGTGGGAGTCAATTCTTCCTACCAGGGAGGTCCCAAAGATCAAATTGCCATGCTTGAGGGCAAGCGTCTTTACTCTGAGGCATCTCACCAGCTTAGATTTTGTTTTGTATTGGGTTAAAGGTGTTAACCACTGTGCCCAGCTTATGTGGTCCTGGGGTTTGAACCCAGGGCTTCATGTATGCTAAGTAAGCAGTTAACCAACTGAGCTGCACCCCAGCCCTTGACTTTCTTGTTTTTCTTTTCCTTTCTTTCTTTCTTTCTTTCTTTCTTTCTTTCTTTCTTTCTTTCTTTCTTTCCTTCTTTCTCTCTCTCTCTCTCTCTCTCTCTCTCTCTCTATCTATCTATTAGTTGGTTAGTTGAGATTTATTTATTTAGTTAGTTGATATAGGATTTCTCTGTAACTTTGGATCCTGGAACTCGCTCTGTAGACCAGGCTGGCCTTAAACTCTCAGAGACCCACTTGCCTCTGCCTCTGCCTCCTCCTCTGCCTCCCGAGTGCTGGGATTAAAGGCATGCACCACCACTGCCTGGCCAGTGCTGTCTTTCCAAGCCTGGGTTACCAGGCTTTATGTACTGTTTTCCTACATATTTCCTCTTTTCCTTTTCCTTTCTGCTGACATATTTCTATTGCGTCTGTATCATTTGTCAGCATCTGTTCATCTGCTGACAGGCCTCTAGGCTGATCCAGTTTCCTGTGGTTGCAGTCAGCCACACTAGACGCCTGTTTTCTCTCCTTCCATCTCTCTGGGATGGAAGGTCGTTTGTGCTTGTCAAAGAACAAGTTATGGTCACTTGCAGTCTTTCTGAACTGTATATCATGTGAGGTGACATTCAGAGGCTTAGGAGAAAAGATAAAAGCTCCCCGGCAGGCTGGGAGATTGTGTGTTTTGACAAGGTGTTCGCTTTTCTTAACTTTCCTGTCCCTACATTGGCCTATGTAACCTACCAGGACATTCGTGCTGTGGGCAACTTCAAGGAGCAGACGGTGATTGCAGTCAAGGCCCCTCCACAGACCAGGCTGGAAGTACCGGACAGGGCGGAGGTGAGAAGAGAAACATTGGGTGGAGGACAGGGTAGGAAGGCCCTGGATAGCTCTGTAGAGTCTGCCTGGCACTGCCAGCCCCAGCTGCACTGGTCCATTCTGGGTCTGGGGACTTCTCTGGTTTGGCAGAGATTTTTTTCTTTGCATTCCCTCTTCAGGGGTTACTGTGCACATGCACTGTCTCCCCACAGAAGCCAAATCAGGCCTCCCAAGAACCCTTACCTTACCTGCTGACCTTGCCCTCACAGGCTCAAGGTGAAAGATGAAACGGTTTTTCTTCAATGCTGAGGGTGGAACTCGGTGCCATGCATGTGCTAGAACATTCTCCATGACTGAGCTCTACCTGTACCCTTGGCTTTTTGAGACAGGGCCTCTCTGTGGGTCAGGTTGACGTTAAACTTGCTCAGCCTAGCCCCAAATTCATGCCCTTCTTGCCTCTGCCCCCTAAATACTGGTATTAGAGGCAGACATCACCATTCCTGGCATAAGATCAAATTAAAAAAGAAAAAAAAAGTTTTGTTTTTTGGTTAAAGATTTATTTATTTATTCTTATGTATATGAGTGTTCTACTTGCATGCATGCCTACATGGCAGACAAAAGAGGGCACTGGATCCCATCGTAGATGGTCGTGAGCCACCACCGTGTGGGTGCTGGGAATCGAACTCTAGAAGAACAGCCAGTGCTCTTAACCACTGAGCTGTGTCTCCAACTCCAAACCAAAACTTTAATACTCCTTGTGAAGCCTTTGGTGCTCTGAGCTCCAAAGACTCCCCCTGATCCCTCTCCTGAGCCCCTTCATCTCCCTGCCCTTTGCCAAGTCAGCCTGTCTGCAGTCTCTGCACTGAGTTCGGTCCTCAGGGCAGAACCTTCGCACAGGCTGTTCGCTCTAGGCAGAATGCACTTCCTCATCCCTGGTGGACCTGCTAGCCCTCCTCAGGTTTCAGCTAAGGCTGAGTCACTTCCTTCCTCATCAACCCCAGACTAGATCCTCTCATTTTTCTTTCTTTTTTTTTTTAAAGCACACTAAATCTCAGCTCTCTGGCCCATCTTGAGAGGATTCCTTGCAAACTCACTAAGTAATCAAAGATGACCTTGAAATTTGATTCCTCTTGCCTCTATTTCCAGAATACCGGGATTGTAGGCCTGCTGAGAACGCTAGTTTAGGTGGTGCTGGGATAGAACCAGGGCCTTATACCTGCTAGGCCAGCATTCCACCAGCTGAGCTAGCCGGGGCCCCTGCTAGGCTTTTATGCTTTACAGAGGAATGTGTTGCTCAACTTCTGTCAGGGTGTGGCACATATTGAGGGATCCAGAAACGGTGGTGTGTTTGAAGGAACCCATACTACAGAGGGAATGAAAGCCCCACCCCTCAACCCAGGACCTCGGCAATGGGTTTATTACTTCTTGACTGAAAATCTGTGTAAAGGACAGAGGAAGCATCCTGGGTGGGGGACAGGTAAACTGAGTCTCAGAGACTACAAGAGTTTCCTGCCAGGCGAGGTGCTGCATGGAGACCTGGGACTTGTGTGAGTGTGTGTGTGTGTGTGTGTGGCCACTGTGGCCTATGTAGGGGTACAATGGGAAGGGATAAGGGTGGAGAAACCAAACCCAACTTGTTTAGGCCTGTGGTGAGGAGACCAAATGACAAGCCCAGGATTTTGGAGATTGGAGACAAAGTTTAATTCGGGGGCTCAAATCACAGTTCCCGTTTTTCCATCTGTCCAGTGCTCTCTGTCCCTGCCTACCTCTCCACTCTTCTCAAGTGGGCTCCCTGCCAGTGGTAGCACACGTGTCCACACCTCAGCCATGTGACACCCTGAGGGAGCCACATAACCCTGGACTCTCCAAGCTGCCTCGAAAGTGAGGCCACAGGAATTGAAAGGCAGGCTTATTTACCCAAGGGACAATCAAGGTGTCCTCCCTCCAAGGGGACTTGCAGGTGGTTCCATGGATCGATGATGTTCTCCCAGCTGGGCCGGGAGGACAGTGTCGGGCTCAGGGGCTGAGCTTGTTCGCGTGGATAGCACTACCTGTAAGTACCTGTATGAATGGACGTTCATCCTGGCTGTCCTGAGGGTCTGTGTTCAGCATTGTGAGACAGTTTCTCTTCCTCCTCCAGGAGAACCTGCAGATTTATCTAAAGAGTACCCAAGGGCCCATTGAAGTCTACCTGTGCCCGGAGGAGGTGCAGGAGCCAGACAGTCCTGCCAAGGAGGCCCTCCCCTCCGCCTCTACCCTCAGCCCCATCCCTGACTTCGCCGAACCCAGCTGCAGCACTGACCCTGGGATCACAGAGACCACAGCGTCTTCAGGTAGGCCCTCTGTTCCTTGGGAGAGGAGGTGAGCGGAGCAGTGACTCTAATTCTTCCCCATTTGCACTTGTTGGATGCCCAGCATCCCCCGCAGATAAGCCCAGTGTCCCCACGTGTGATAACTGTGCTTCATGCTTTGCGAAACGAATGTGCATCCCTGTCTCACCGGGAGAGCCCGGGCTGCTCTGGGGCGGCACAGCCATTCATTCCCTCTGCTGTGTGCCCTTCGACAGTTGCTGCTTCAGTTTCCTTATCGGTAGGTTCGACAAGAGTAGTTAATGTTTAAGTCTCGGGTTATTAAAAGGATTAGTGAGCTCAGGTGAGCCGAGTGTTTGACCTGGCGATAGCTCTTCCTGTCATCTCTGCTGCCACAATTGCTATGTGGTTGGCTCCCAGCCAAGCACGTGGCACTCAATAAGCCACAGTAAGTCGTGTCACGTATGTGTTATGAGAGCTGAACCCGGGACATCATGCTTGTGCTTCCTAGGTAAATAAGCCCTTCACCCCCAAGCCACATCCTCAGCCTCTGGGTTGTTTTTTGTTTTTTGTTTTTTTTAATTAAAACTTTATCATAAAGAGTTTGTTAATAAAAAACATCACGCACTGAAATTAACCAGATCCAAAGTTTATATGTCTCAATATACTTTTATACTGTTTTATACTGTTAGAATAGCCAAGGCCACTGAGTGGTGGTGGCGCATACCATGCCTTTAATCCCAGCACTCAGGAGGCAGAGGCAACTGGATCTCCGAGTTTGAGGCCAACCAGGGCTCCTCAGAGAAACCCTGTCTCATTAAAAAACAACAACAACAAAAAAAACCACAACAACCAAAACCGGGGGTCTGGGTGGGGGAGGGACTGAGTAGCCAAGACCAAAGAGAGATAGATGGCTCAGTGGCTAAGAGAACAAAAGGGCCAGATTCAGTTCCCAGCACCAGTGTGATAGCACACAGCCATCCATAATTGCAGTTCCAGAGGAGCCAGTACCTTTCCTGAGCACAACCCAGCACCATGTGAGCACATATGCGCACGCGTGCACGCACACCCACCCACACACTCTCCCCGTGTGATGCATGTACATTCATGCAGGCAAAATACTCATATATATATATATATATATGACATGAATATAAGTTTTTTAAACAGCCATTCTGAAGCTGTGAGCTTCCCATCCGATTCCTCACTGAGCCACTGAATGTGTTCGCACACTTAGCTACCACCAAAACCAGAGGACCAGAAACAGGATGACCTTTCTAGCTCTGTCCCTACCGTAGTCTAGGCTGGCCTCAGGCTCACGAGGTCTGCCCGGCTCTGCCTCTTGAGTGTTGAGATTAACAGCGTATACCACTGTGCCTGGGGGTTTTCGTTTTGTTTCGAGATGGGGTCTTATGTAGCCCAGGCCAACCCTGAACTCTCTGTAGCTAAGGATGACCTTAAATTCTTATCCTCTTGCCTTTCAAGTGCTAGACTTATAGGTTTGCACCACTACACTTAATGTCTGTGCTGCTGGGCATCAAACTCGGGGATTTTGTGCCCAGTCTGCAAGCACCCTACCCACTGAGCCACATCCCCAACCTGAGTCTTTGTTGCTGTTTTACAATTTTTTTATTTCCATACCCATTTTCCATATATTTATTTTGCATTTACATTATATGTTTATTTACATTATTTATTGTTGTATGTGGACGTGTGTATATGTGTGCACGTGCATGCCATGACACGTGTGTGGAGGTCAGAAGGCCACCTGGAGGAGTTGTTTCTCTCCTTCTACCATGTGGGTGCCAGGGATGGAACTCAGATGGTCAGACTTAGTGCCAAGCGCCTTTACCTGCAAAGCCATGTTGTTGGCTCCAGGTCATTTTAATTGTTTGAGACAAGGGCTCTAGCCCAAGCTTATCTGGAAGTTGAAGTCCTCTGTCTTCACCTCCCCAGTGATAGGATTATTAAGTGTGTGTGTGTGTGTGTGTGTGTGTGTGTGTGTGCGCGCGCTACCACACCTGGTTAACTCTGGATTCCCAGAAGAGGTTCAGCACTTCCTCTGCTAACAGTAGCTAGGGTTTTGTTCTGTTTTGTTTTGTTCCACCATGACTTGGAAGGGGTCTCACTCACCTCTCCTAGTTTAATGATGGAAACCCAAGAGGGAGACAGTTTAGCCAAGGACAGGCAGCTGGGAGCAGCACAGTGGTGTTTTACCCTTGGCCCACAGGGGCCCAGGGCGGTGTCCTCAGGCACAGGATCAAGCAGGAAGGGCCCCTGGCTGGAGGGCCCACACCTGGCCCAGGGGTGGGGGAGCACCCGGTGGGTTTAGCTAATGAGTCGATGGGGCCAGAAGCCACCTCTGCAGAATGGCCTTGCCTTCTGTTAGGATTCTGCCCCAGGTCACGTGAACAGGTTCTTCAGGGTCTGTAGACCGCATTCCATCTTTGGTTTTTTGGATCCAGATTTCCTTAAGTAGAACCCTGGTAGTTTTTTCCGTTTAATTTTTTTTTACATTTATTTATTGGTGGTGGTACATGTGCCACCCACAACTTGGAGGAATTGTTTTTCTCCTCCCACCATGTAGGTCCTGGGTTGAACTCGGGTCACTAGGCTCTCCTGCAAGCGCCTTGTCTCAGTGAACCATCTTGCTAGCCCAAGAACCTTCGTGTCTAAAGAAAGGCAGAACTGGGCTTAGCCCGATGACAAGGCCTGGTGTGACTGTTCTACAGGACATAGGTTGCTTCTCTTTCTCTGCCAAAAAGTTTGACACATTCCAGCCTTGCAGGTCAAAACTGGCTTGTTTTTGTATGGTCAACAAGCTAATGATGGCTTTGAACTCATGTTTTTCTTTGTCTTTAGTGGTCATGCTGGGAACCGAGCCCAGGACTTGGCACACCCTATCACTGGCTGCACCTTACCTTGGTTTTTACATTTTTCAAGCGTTGGAGAGGGGTCTAGAGAGGGGGCTCAGCTGTGAGGAGCATTTGCTGTTCTTGCAGAGGACATGAATTCTGTTCCCAGCACCCCTGTGGTGACTTCCTAACTACAGCTTTTGGTGATCTGATGCCCTCTTCTGACTTCTGCTGGCACTGCATGCTCAGGGCATACTTGTGGGCAAAATGCTTGGACACATAAAACAAATAAATCTTAAAAAAAGAAATTTAAGGGGTCTGGAGAAATGACTCAGAGGTTAAGAGCACTGACTGCTCTTCCAGAGGTCCTGAGTTCAATTCCCAGCGACCACATGGTGGCTCACAGCCATCTGTAATAAGATCTGGTGCCCTCATCTGGCCAGCAATCATACAGACAGACAGAACACTGTATACATAATAAATAAAAAATCTTTAAAAAAAAATTTAAGAAGAGTTGGGTAGCTGGGCAGTAGTGGCACACGCCTTTTATCCCAGCACTCTGAAGGCAGAGGCAGGCGGATCTCTGTGAGTTCTAGGCCAGCCTGGTCTACAAGAGCTAGCTAGCTCCAGGACAGGCTCCAAAGCTACAGAGAAACGCTGTCTTGGGGAGAAAAATAAATAAATAAATAAATAAATAAAGAAAGAAAGAAAGAAAGAAAGAAAGAAAGAAAGAAAGAAAGAAAGGAAAAGAAAAAGAAGAGTTGGGTAGAGAGCCAGTGTTACAGAGGCCACATGTGTGCCATTAAACCTAAAACACTGCCCAGCCCTTTACAGAAGTTTATTGATCTCGGGCTCATTCTACAGAATTAAGCTAATGCCCAGAGAGAGCAAGTGGCTGCTTTAAGGTCTCACAAGTTGATGTAGAGCTGGGACAAGAGCCCAGACTCCTCGGTCTTCTCTGGGGATCCCTCCTGTATGTGTCACCCAGGGACCAGAGCTTCTCTGTGTGCCAGCCATCTGTCCCTTTGGGCACCTCCCCAGGCCCTATCTTTGATCCCAGACCTGTGCCCCACCCTGTTGTCCCTCCTGTTACTCTGCCCTCTTCGCTCAGCTGTCAATGTGTATGTGGCTTTCCAGAGTTAGTACTGCCTGCATGTCAACATGTACATGGCTCTCTAAAGTTAGTACTGCCTGCATGTCAACGTGTACGCGGCTCTCTAAAGTTAGTACTGCCTGCATGTTCATTGTCCTCTAGGGGAGACAGTGGTAAAGACTTCCCAGCAGCTCTCTAGTATGAGACCTGAAGCCCAGAGGCTGGGGTGGAGCTCAGGGGTACATTCTGGCTTTAAAAAGAACATTCTCTCATGAATGTTGCAGGCCCCATTCCCAGGGGATGATACTATCAGACTATGGTTTTTATAAACAATTGATATAGACCGAGCACCCCACCCCTGCAGGGTCTAGTGTAGTTTGGAGTTATTCAGAGTGGACAGAGCAAAAGGTGTTACAAAGGATGGCTCCGGTCTGGCCATGTCCAGCAGCAGGAAGGAGAGCAAGGTTCGCCCTACCCCATGGTTTCCACAGGCCTTCCCTCAGTTTCCACTCCCCGAAATTCTGAGTCATTTCTACTTTAGCCTCCTGGGATAGCTGGGCACTGAGTTCACAGCTGATAAGAAACAGGGCTGGGGTTTGCGGCCACACTCTTTTTCCCATGGCCAGGCCCCTGGCTGTCATCTCAGCGGCGTGTTAAAATTGTGGGGCGCTGGGGGTCAAACCTGGGGCCTATGTGCACTAGGCAAATTCTCTGTTGCTGAGTTATGTCACCAGCCCCAAGTTTTAGTGATGGTGGTAGTTGTAATTGATGTGTGTATGTGTGTTTTGCATGCATGTGCATGTGTGGCTATGCATACATGTGCAGAGGCCAGAGCAGGACACACCCTCTGAGTTGTTGCCATGAGACTGAGTCGCTGGGTCTGAAGCTTGCTATTATTTGGCCAAACTGACTGTCCCGTGAGCTCTCAGGATCCAGCTGTCTCTGTCTTCCACTTCTAGGGTTATAGGCACTCACAATCATGCCCGCCTTTAGGTAGGTACTGGAGATTTGAACTCTGGTCCCCCTACTTGCAGTGCAAGCCATCTCAGCCACTAATCTGTCTCCCCAGCCCTTGTTTGTTGTTGTTTTGTTTCAGGATTTTGCTCTGTACCCCACACTAGTGATGTAGGCTACAAAACAAACTTAGAATGCTTCCCAAGGGCCAGAATTAGAGGTATAAGCCACTATCCTTGGCACGAAACTTTTGTTCTAGGTTTTTCTGTAAGAATTTAATAGATTGATGGGGCTGGAGAGATGACTCAGTAGTTAAGAGCACTGACTACTCTTCCAGAGGACCCGGGTTCAACTCCCAGCAACCACACAGCAGCTCACAACTGCCTGAAACTCCAGTTTCAGGGGACCCGAAACTTCCCATGGCAAAACACTGATGGACATTTCAAAAAAAATATTTATTTTATTTTTCATTACTTATTTGTGTGTGGGCACGTGCATGCATACGAATACAGGTGCCCACAGAGGCCAGAGGAGGGCATCAGATCTCCTGGATCTAGAGCTACCTACTGTGAGCCGCCAGGTTTGCTGCTCCAAACTCAGGTCCCCTGGAAGAGCAGCATACTGAGCCACCTCTTCAGCCTGGGAAGATGCTTTTTTTTTTTTTTAAAGATTTATTTATTTATCTGTTATGTATACAGTGTTCCTCCTGCATGTATGCTTGCAGGCCAGAAGAGGGCACCAGATCTCATTACAGATGGTTGTGAGCCACCATGTGGTTGCTGGGAATTGAACTCAGGACCCCAGAAAGAGCAGCCAGTGCTCTGAACCTCTGAGCCATCTCTTCAGCCCAGAAGGATGCTTTTTAAAGATAGGAATTATTGGGGTGTTGTGTGTTGTGCTGATGGAGGAGGGTTAGGGAGACTGGAAATGCCGGAACGAGCAAAGGGCTTCGGGAGCAGGCCACTGCACCTTGCAGAGGAGAGGAGAGAGCGAAACATGGCATTTCTGTGACTGATGTCTGAAGAGGCAGGGTATCATCACACCATCGCGTGGGGGAGATGGAGGAGGGGCCGGCCGGCCAGCCAGAGAGCTCAGGGCTACCCATGACTCTTGTCCTTTTGTCTCCAAAACCAGTGCTGACGTCCCAGCCGGTCCCGCCACCACCAGCGCCATCCCTTGTCCCCTTGGAAACCACTGACAACATGCTGGAGCTGTCGCACCCACTGCTGCAACAAACCGAGGACCAGTTCCTGTCCCCGATCCTGACTGCCAACTCCCCTCTGATCAGCTTCTCCCCGCCCTTGGACCAGGATGAATACCTGTGGGGCATGGATGAGGGCGAGGGCATTAGCGACCTCTTTGACTCCTATGACCTTGGGGACCTGTTGATCAATTGAAGAGTCCCGCCTCTGTCTCTACCTCCTCACAGACAGAGTGACAGGCTCTCTGCCCAGATGGGGGATGCTGGACACTAGGTGTCAACCCCTGCGTGTGAGTGACTCCCTTCCAGCCTTCCTTCCGGTGTAGGCCAGCTGGGGAGATGTGGAGGATGTGAGTGAGGAAGTGTGTCAGGGGCTGGGCCCTGATCCTCCTCTTCTGACCTCTGACCCCTTCATGAAGGACAACAGGTGCAGGAGACCATGTTCAGGGAAAGGGTCTGCCGCCTTCTTCTGAGGGGCAGTTGGACCCTGGCTTTTTCAAGAAGCACTTAATGCCTTTGTATTTATTATTTCAGGTTTGTTTGTTCGTCCGCCCTGAGTTTTGGCAGGGAGATTTGTTCTAGTTTCTCCTCTGACAGGTCCTCCCATGTCTACTGTCTAAGGGAACCCCTGGGCTTCCAGGGGCCCGGGCCAACTCCTTGGTCCTTCTCCCACAGTAGTACCTGGGTCTTGAGGAGACTATCCAGTTTGCTTGAGTATTAACTGCACTTAGGCCTTGTAATTCTCATAAAGTGCAGGACCCAGCCAAGGCGTTGGCTTAGGGTTCCCTACCTCTTCCATCCCAGAGAAGGTTCCAGTAGCTGTCTTGGGGGAGGTAGCATTGAGTTCCCTACAGGAGCAGGTAGCCAAGAAGGTTAGCTTCCAGTTGGGTCCCGTGTCTCTCCTGAGCCTCAGAAAGTAAATACAGGCCTTCAGGAACTAGGCCAGAAGAGTCCCTGGGAAAAGCAGGAGGCACGTGTCTTGGCTGCTGGAGGTTACCCTCCTTAGAGCCTCTGCCTCATCCTAGTCAGAGACTGGGGAGGTGGTGGCAGAGACAAGTGTGAGGAGAAACACCCTGGGGGCTGCCCATGCTCCCCTGGAAGGATTATTTTGTTTCTTGGTCACAGTTGTTGGAGGGAGAGATTCCTTAAGGACCAGCCTTCCCGAGCCCTCGCTCCACGTCCAAAGTCCGAAATGACAGGAACTTGGGGGCAGGTTTGCACCTTCCCACAATGGAATGCTGAGGGGATGACGGGTAGGGTGGAGTGGTCTTCACTGCAGACTAGATCTCAGCAGCTCATGAGGAGATGGTGTGGGGAGCTGGGAGAACCGTGGGCCTATTTCCCTATGGGCTGACCATCTAGGGTCCCTGTGGTCCAGATGGGGACAGGAGTCTGCTGTCTCCGTTGCCCTTCCTGGGATGGACAATGCTCTGGGCTGAACCAAGGCCATGTGTTCTGGAGAGGTACACCCAGGGGAAGGAGGGTCTTACCCTCTTTCAGGGAGCTCGGGTTTCTCAGGGGCTCAGCAGGGCAGCACTTTTTTTTTTTTTTTGTGAGTTTGTAGCATTAATTTGATTTAAAAGATGAAGTTGACTCTGCCAGGTAGCTTCTAGCTGGCTGACTGGCAGTTGAAGTTTAGATGTTGGGCTAATGTGAACTGATGCCCATTTGGGGCTAATTTGTCTTATCCTTAGCTCAACTTTTTGGGCCCCCAAGTTAGTTCCCTTCGAGGAGAGGTCGGTGTCTCACAGCTGCCCCCCTTGGAATTTGTATACTTTTACATCGCGCGTCTAACCTTTCGACCTTGCGATGTGACCTTGTCGTCTATAAAGTTCACACTCAAGAACCGCACAGTTAAGCTACCAAAAAAGAAGAAATCTCATGAGAACGTTTACAGTCTTGTGTTGGGCTGTTGTCCATGGCTCTCTGTGGCCTGTGCTGCAGGTTGGACATACCTGCTACCAAACGCAGGGGCATAATCGGACACCAGGGAAGTCCACTGTGCTCTAAGCCTGCAGGTGACCCTCGAGTGGTGAGGGTGCCACCTGGACTCTAGTTTGATGCTCCTGAGGCTGGAGGCAGCTTTGTTGTTCTCAGGTCTCTGCTATTTAGCCATGTGCCAACTCCAAGAACAGAGACGCCCGACCTCCGTGCCTTGGTCTCTGGGGGGAGAGCTAAGGTTCTGGGGATAGAAGAGGGCTGTAGTTCCTGTCTGGAGTGAGGCTAATAACACAGCTCAGAATTCAAATTCAGTTGCCTAAGGCCCAGCCCAGGGATGGACAGAGGCCTTGCTACCAGCTGCCTCTTGCTCTCCTGCCCCTCTTTTCAATCCTGCTTGGTCGAGGGGCTGGACCTCCCAGGACAAGCCCCAGGCTAGTGTGGGAAACAAACTCAAGCCTCTTTCTTGCCAATGATACTTGAGACCCCCCAAGTTCCTTAAAGTGCTTTAAAAGAATGGGGTGTACCCCATTTGGGACACCGTTTTGAGCGGTATTTCTTTTAGGCCCCACGGGAACATTCATGCTAGGGTGGGAAAGATGCCAGTCTCTTTTGAGGTGGATGCTTTTGTTCAGGGAGGTTTCCCAGCCTCAGCATCAAGCCCCCAAGTCATTTGGGTCCCCAGGGACCCCAGAGCACTTAACAGAATTAAACTTGTAAATAGCGTTGGAAATGCGCCTGTGAAGGTGTCGGGGATGAGTCGGTCCCTCCATGGTGACGTGGCCAGCTGGCGTGTCGATGAGCCGTGGGAGTTTATAAGCTTTGAGGGGGTGTGACTTGGTTTCCCCTCCGTGTGTGTTCTCAGCCTCCCTTCTGCACAGGTTAGTGTTTCAGGGAGTTTGCTTCTGCTGACCGGCATCGGCTGTTGTGTGGCTCTAGTGTACCTGAAGCCCTCGGGGTGGATGAGAATCAGTTTCTTGGTTTCTGTCATTGTGCCCAGAGGCCCCACCTCACCTAGGTACCCTATTCTCCCACAAGGCCCTTTAGGGACCATAATGGCCATAATCTGGCCAGCCTCTGGCTGCTGGGAGAGATGAAGTCTTATGGTGTTGTTTGTGTTGAGGGTGCCTGGGGGTGGGGGTCTGGGGTCTCTGAGCTGGGACTCCATGTGGGTCACCTACCTCCTCATTTCACCCAAAGTTCTGCCTTGAACTCCAGCGAGTGTTCTTCAGTTGTGATGATTGGGCATTAAACAGTGTCAGCTGTAAAGTTTCGTCTCCGTGTCCTTTGTTTTTGCCGCCCTGGGGATCCCGCCCAGGCCCTCATACATGTTAAACACATGTCCACCATTGAACTGCCTGGGGATCCCCACCCAAGCCCTCATACATGTTAAACACATGTTCACCATTGAACTATACCTCAACCCCATTACGCTATTATGATGGACACTTTTTGCTGACTGGAGGGTGAGGACCATGCTTGCCCAGCTGATGTACCCAGTCCCCATGTGTCTTTTCCCTGCATTGCTGATCCCACGCTTGGAGTTAGCAGTGCCAACCTCCGCAGTTTGACCTGCCTGCCTCCCCTACTCCGCGTGGGGTGTGCCACCGCCTCCCGGCTCATACCTAGCTCTCTGAGTACCTCAGATACCCCCAAATGGCATGCCTTAAGCAGGTGTCTCAAAGGTGTACAGCCTGTCAAGGAAGACTCAAAAATAGTGTGGGTCAGTTCTTTGAAGCGTTGAGACAAATCCTAAATAGAAACTGACCAACTAAATATAGACTTGCAAAATAAGGAAAAGAAGTCACAGCCAGGTAAGATTGAGATAGGGACGCCAAGAATTCATCAGCATGTTTACTGGAAAATTACACACCTTTCTTGTAGAATGAACAAACGAATTGGGCTGGGGTATGTAGTTCAGTGGCAGAGCCCATGCAAGAATAGTACCCTGGGTTCCACTGCCTGCACCTTCCCCCATGACAAAAGAAGGAAAAAAAACCAAAACCAGCCAGCTTGCCCACGTGGCCTGTGAGATTAGCCCCTTTGCTCTTTTGAGCAAGGGTCGTTCATTTATCGGACATTTATGGATGGAGCATCTATGCGGTGCCAGGGTGGGGTCAGAAGTCTCCTTCCTGGTCCACGCTGTGCACCTGCTTTACCTTTTGCTTCCTCTTTGCAGGGCGCCCAGAGCCTGGTCTGTGTGTCAGCTGCGGAGTCCTTAGGTACCTGAAGCTCTGTGTTAAATCAAGGCTGGAAGGCCACATAGGAGAGGGTGTGTCAGGGCCCAGCAGGGGGACTCTTGTGAAGTCTCTCTATTCAGATGTTTAGTAAAAGAAATTGTAAGATACTCAGAACCAGAAAAAAACAAAACACTAGGCTGGGTGAGGTGGTGTTTATGATCCCAGCCCTGGGAGGGTGGAGGCAGAGGGGTCATGAGTTCAAGGCCAGAAGCCAGTTTCAAACAAGAACTGGGTGAGATTGTTGCTCCTTTAGCCCAGAGGCTTTTTTTTCCCTCTTATTTCCCCCCTCCTCCAACAGGGTTTTTCTGTGTAGTCTTGACTGTCCTGGAACTCACTTTATAGACCAGGCTGGTCTCAAACTCACAGAGATCTGCCTACCTTTGTTCCTCAAGTGCTGGAATTAGAGGTGTGTGCCACCACTGCCAGGCAATTGTTTTTTTTCCAGAATATGGACTCAAACCCAGGGTCTCACATGCTAATCAAACATTCGAGCACTAACCTATAGTCTCAGGCACCCCATCTTCCTTTTCCCCCACTGTTTCCAGTCTTGCTAAAAATTGCCCATGCTGGCTTTGAATTTGTAATCCTCCTGCCTCAGGTTGCAGAATAGCTGGGATCACAGATCACACCAGACTCACAAACATTTTCTGTGTACCTGCTATGTGCCTGCACCTGTTAGGTGCCTCCTTCGTGGTGCTTACAGTCAGTTCTAATCCAAACCACACCGTTTGTAGGTTGGCACAGATTGGAGGGGATCCAAACCACACCGTTTGTAGGTTGGCACTGATTGGAGGGGAATCAAATGAATTTAAAACCAAATGTACAAAACTCTGAGGTGTTTCTGGCCAAGGCTTCCAGGGATGCATTGTGGGACTTCAAGGCAGCCTTGGTTCTCAACACAGTCCTCGTACTTTGTAGAGCGCCTCTTTTCAAGCCGTGCATGATTATGACCTCCGTCTGAAACATCTCGCTCGGTCTGGAGACTGTGAAAAGGTATTATCTTCAATAAGGGTTACATTCCTGTGCGTAGACTTTCTATCCTTACAAAAACGTGACGGCTTAATTAAATTACGGAAACCAGACCAAGATGGCCGCTCACAGCAGAGTTCAGAGGGCCCCAGCTGAGTGGAAGCAGAAGGGTACCTGCTGGGTCTGTTGGCTACTGGCTGTGTTGCGCTAGGCAAGGCCACCCATCCTTTCAGAAGTACGTGGTCCCTTCATGAACAGGACCACTAGGAGCTAGGTGTGGTTGCAGAGGTTGAGGCAGGAGAATGGAGAGTTATAGGCCACCCTTTGAAGATGTTATCTGGAGAACGTCGCCTGGGTGTTGGGACAGCAGTTGTTCACCCAGGGTGAGCACTATTGCCATCTAGTGGTCACTGCGAGAGGCAGCCCCTTCTTGGAAGCTAGTTTTAGGTTTGTGTTTTTTTGTTTTTGTTTTTTGAGACAGGGTTTCCCTGTGTAACAGTCCTAGCTGTCCTGGAACTAGCTATTGTAGACCAGGCTGGCCTCGAACTGACAGGGATTCACCTGCCTCTGCCTCCCGAGTGCTGGGATTAAAGGCGTGCGCCACCCCTGCCCGGCTCTAGTTCATTCTTTCAAAACCCACATAGATGTGTGATTCTGTCCAGTGAGGCTCAGAAAGGTGAATTTACGTTCCTGAATTAACACAGCTGGGACAGGATCAGGTGAGTAAGCGAGCTTGATGATCCACCTCATTCTTTGCCAGGGTGCTGAAGCTCAGACACTGGCACTCGCCACAGCCAGGTTGACGGTTTCCTCACTTCCTGGCTGAAGAATTTAGGCCGGGCCCCCACCTACCTCAGCATTCTACCCCTGAGCTGTATTAACCAACCTTTGGATAAATTATCTTTTTGAGGACTCCTAAGCAACGTGTGAAGAGGACCTACACAAAGTAAGGGTTGGTTGTCTGTTTTTGAGCAGAGAGAGTATAGTGTCTCTTTCTTTAGCTCTGACTGTCCTAGCCTTTAACTCCACCTGCCTCTGCCTCCCTAGTGCTGGAATTAAAAGCATGTATTCCCCCCACCTGGCACAAAGTAAGGTTTTGATAAATATAATTTTCATTATTGTTTCATGCCCTGGTATACCCATCCCACCCCAATCCCTCTCACCTTCTTTAAAAAATTTATTATCACCATTATTCCTAATTTATATATATTTTTATATATGGTCAGTAGGGTATCAGACCACTTGGAACTGGAGTTACAGGAACTGGAGTGAACTCCCTAGAATGGGTGTTAGGAATCCAACTTGGGTACCCTGCAAGAACAGTATGCACTTTTAACCACTGAGCCCACCCCAGCTTCACCTTTTTTAAGACAAGGTCTCATGTAGCCCAGGCTTGCTTCAAGCTCCCTATAACAGAGGGTGACCTTATATTTATGATCCTCCTCCAAACTCTCCAGTGCTGGGTTTACAAATATTATTCTCGAAAAAAACCCATACTATTTATTTATTTTATATTTTGTTTATGTATTTTTGGTGTTTTGAGACAGGATTTCACTGTGTAGCGTTGGCTGTCCTGGAACTTCCTCTGTAGACCAGGCTGGCCTCAGACTCATAGAGAGCTGTCGGCTTCTGCCTCCCCAGTGCTGGGATTAAAGGCGTGCGCCACCTCCCAACTCAACACATCCCTTTTGTGAGGTTCTGGGATGGAATTCAGGGCTCTGAGCAAGGCAAGCAATCTATCAATCAAACCTCACCACCAGCCACTCAATTCCTCCTCCTTTTAAAAGATTAGCTGCTGAGGGCTGGAGAGAGGGCTCAGTGGTTAAGAACATTTATACTGTTCTTGCAGAGGACCTGGGTTAGGTTCCCAGCATCCACCTGGTGACTCCAATTTCAAGGAATTTATGCCCTCTTACGATTTCCATAGGCACCAGGCACACATGTAGTGCACATGCATCCATGCAGGCAAAACACTCATACACATAAAATAAAACAAATCTTTTTTAACAATACAAAAATCATAAACATCTTTCTTTTACAATTTAGTTATTTGTGTGTGTGTGCACACGTGTACATGTGTGTCACCGTGTGCATGATACATGTGGAAGTAAGAAGACAGGCTGTGGAGTCCATTCTCCCCTTCCAGCTGTACAGGGGTTCTAGGGATCAAGCTTAGACCTCAGGCTTTCACAGCTATCATTGTTTGTTGGCTTTTGTTTTGTTTGTTTTAGAACAGGGCTCTCACTATGTAGCCCTAGTTGGCATCTAACTCTCTATGTAAACCAAGATGGCCTCCATCTTAAGAGACCTGCCTGCTTCTACTTCTCAAGTTTGGCAGGAAGCAAGTGCCTTTCTCCCGCGCTGACTCTAAATCCTACTTCTTGTTTTTTGTTTGTTTGTTTTGGGTTTTTATTTTTGTTTTTTTCCAAGATAGGGTTTCTCTGTGTAGCCCTGGCTGTACTGGAACTTACTCTGTAGACCAGGCTGGCCTTGAACTCAGAGATCCACCTGCTTCCTCCCAAGTGTTGGGATTAAAGGCGCGTGCCACTACTGCCTGACTTCTAAATCCTATTCTTTTTTTTTCTTTTAAGATTTATTTATTATGTACACAGTGTTCTGCCTGTGTGTATTTATGCATGCCAGAAGAGGGCACCAGATCTCATTATAGATGGTTGTGATCTGCCGTGTGGTTGCTGGGAATTGAACTCAGGACCTCTGGAAGAGCAGCCAGTGCTCTGCTGCTGAGCCATCCTTCCAGCAACCTAAATCTTATTCTTAAGAACTATGGTGGTGCCTTAAATTTATATATCAGACATGTTTATGTATTTACCAAATAAGTTTAGAAGGTTCCAACTGTTCACAGGTTCCCTGACCCTTTGGGAACCTGATTTTTAAAATTATTTATTTTTATTTTATGTGCATTTGTGTTTTGCCTGCATGTATGTCTGTGTGAGGGTGCTGGGTCATCTGGAATGGAAGTCAGAGGCAATTGTACTGGGAATTGAACTCAGTACCTTCAGGAGAATAGCCAGTGCTCTTAACCTCCAAGCCGTCTCTCCAGTCTCGGGAATATGATTTTTGAAGTATCTAATTCATTCATACTGTCCTCTGCAAATTTCCCGTGAGTGCACAAAGGTTATTGCATCTGCTCTGTGGGGTGTGAGTGACATTCCTTCTCTACAGAAGTCTGGCCCACTCTAGTGGGCACTCAAGGCTACTGTGCTCCGCTTTCCAGCTGTGCACTACCCAACGCTAGGTGGCGCCACAGCACCAACTATAGTGCTCAAGTTTGGGCTCGAGCTCTTGTCTCTTTCAGCTGGGAATATCTAGTTCTCTCTTAAGGGAATTTAAAAATTGAGATTTGAAGATTAGGATCAGCTAGTGGTTTAAGATGAGGACATACAAAGACCACGGGGCCCTGGAAAGTGACTGTGGTCGACCCGAGCACCTTTCAGTTTCTTGGGTAGGAACCCCACACAACACTTGAGGCCAGGGAATTAGGGAGCAAAGAGAGGCGGGCATCTGTCTATGCCTCAGCAGACAGGGTGTAAAGGAAAAACAAGAAAACAAAGTGAGAGAATTGTATGTCATGGGCTTAGGAACGTATCAGCACAAAGTGCATCTTGGATGAATTATTTCACTTTTATTATTATTATTTCATGCCCTGGGAACATGAAAATCCCCTTCTTAGGAACTATGGCCGTGTAAATGGGTTGACATGCATACCCTCTCATTAAAAGATGTTTTTAAAATTATGTGTCTGTGTGTAGTTATGTGCACCCGTGTGCAGGTGCCTGCGGAGGACAGAAGAGGGCGTTGGAGTCCCTGGCGTTAGAGTTACAGGCTGTGTGTGCAGGTGCCTGTGGAGGACAGAAGAGGGCGTTGGAGTCCCTGGCATTAGAGTTACAGGCTGTGTGTGCAGGTGCCTGTGGAGGACAGAAGAGGGTGTTGGACTCCCTGGCGTTAGAGTTACAGGCTGTGGCTGTGAGCTGCCTGAAGTGGTTGGTGGGAACTCAACCCTGGTCTCCTGTCAGAGCTGCAAAGCCTTCTTAACCGCTGAGCCAGCTTCCCAGCCCCGACAGACATTTTAAAATTTGGTGCTCTGCATTTTCTCTGTAAACATTTTCTTTCGTGGGTTTGTGGAAGCACAAAGACCTATGGGCAGGGCATCAGAACATCCCAGGACATGAGGGAAGGCTTCCTTGGGGGCAGTAAAATGTATGCCATTTGAGCCAGGAAGCTGAAAAGAAACTGGAAATAATGCAGACAGAAGGGACAGGCTGCACGGGAGCAGGAGGTGACCAGGGCAGTGAGGTGGCAGTCTCCTGCCTCGGGAACTACACGGAGGCTTGTTCTTTTCTCCTGAGAGACTGGAGAGGCAGATCACATCGGATCAAGACGGTGCTAGGAGTGGTGTGTGTAGTGATATTTTATTTGTATTGTAATAAATAAAGCTGGCCTGATGTTCAGAGCGTAAAACAGCCCAACTGATCAACCTTACAGACCTGGCAGTGGTGACACACACCTTTAATCCCAGTAGCTACACTGGCTTGCCGGAGTAACCAGGTGATGGTGCAGGCTCTTAATCCCAGCACTAGAGAGGAATGTAAGATGGGAGGAAACAGCTCTCACACACAGTCTCATTCTGAGATTCCTGGAGGCAGGATCGCCATTTCGGACTGAGGACTGAGGTAGAGGTAAGAGCCAGTGGCTGGCTGTTTTGCTTTGCTGACCTTCAGGTTGAACCCCAATATCTGTCTCTGGTTTTTTAATTAATCGTGCTACAGGTGTGCAAAGGTATAGCTCAGATCATCCGACTGAGGCGCCTCTTTGCTGCCATTTCCTCCTGAACTCAGTTCTCATTTGCACGAGAGATATGAATTACCTACGGCCTGGAGATGAACCTAGAACATGTTTCCAGAAGGTAGATCACATGGCAGCAGAGAGTGACATCAAATAAACCTGGACTTGAGTTCTGCCCTTTCTGCTCATGGGTCAGCTGACTTTGACATATAAACTAGCATGCCGTCCGTGTCATGTTCATTGCATACATACGTACTGTGTACCGGCTGTGGGGACAATGGATAACACGGGGGAGGGTGTGCTGTGGTTAAACTCTTCACTCTTTGTATCTCCTCATTTTGACCATCCTAGGAGGGAAGGCACCCTCATTCCACCTGGGAGAGAAGAGGAAACTGGGACCCACAGAAATGGAGCTATTTATGTAAGGCAGATAGAGGCAGATAGCAAAGACAGGATTCAACCCCGGGCCGTCTGTGCCTCTGGACACTAGCCTGGTTTCCCACAAAGCCTTAACCAAAACAAATCCCTTTCCTTCCTGACAGAATTTACATGGTAGTAGAGGGACAAACAGTAAAAGGGAGGCACATAAGTCAGCAGCATGAGCCTAGGCATCATGGCACATGACTTAATCCCAGAAGAGGCAGGCTGATTTCTCGGGAGGTGAAGGTCAGTCTGGTGTATCTAGTGTGTTCCAAGCCTTCCAAGGCTACACAGTAAAACTCTATCTCAAAATGAGAAAAAGAAGAAGAGGAAGAGGAAGAGAGAAAGATGATGATGATGATGAAGAAGAAGAAGAAGAAGAAGAAGAAGAAGAAGAAGAAGAAGAAGAAGAAGAAGAAGAAGAAGAAGAAGAAGAAGAAGAAGAAGAAAAGGAATGCAAGCAAGCAATGTCCTGGACAGGTCTCAGAGGTGTCATGCAGTTACAGTGCTCAGCAGGAAGCATCAGATAAACCCGGTGTGTGGCAGTGTCTGCAATCCTAGCATTCAAAAGATGGAAGCATGTGAGTCAGGAGTCTGAGGTGACCCATGGCTACACAGTAAGTCAGTCTAGAGAAAACCCTGTCTGAAGATAAATAGACACCCACGTGGGGAGGAGAGAGCCAACTCCTGAAAGTTGTCCTCTGACCTCGTGAATTCAGTGTCATGCATGTATACACACGTGTGTGAGAACACACACACACATTGTAAATTTTTAAAAATAAAATTAAAGGGACTGGAGAGACGGCTTGGTGGTTAAGGAGCATTTGTTCTTGCAGAGGACCTGGGTTCAATTCCCAGGAGCTATATGGTGGCTCACAGCTATCTGTAACTCTAGTTCCAGGGGGTCTGATACCTTCCTGTGGCTTCCTAGAGCACCCAGCATCACTCACATGGTACCCAGACATACAGGCAGGCAAAACATCCATACATATTAATAAAACAAAACAAGCAAAAAGCAAACTCATACCAAAAACCTAGCATACTAAAAGTAATGGATCGGGAAAAAGCAGCAGGATTAAGATGACAGAGAGGTGGAATGTGGAGAGCGGGGTGAGGAAGGCTGCAGGTGGCGAGTTTTAAACAAGATGGCCAGGATAAGCATTATGGTTACATTTGAAATGTTCAAGGGGGCTGGAGAGATGGCTCAGAGGTTAAAAGCATAGACTGCTTTTCCAGAGGTCCTGAGTTCAATTCCCAACAACCACATGGTGACTCACAACCATTTGTAATGAGACCTGGTGCCCTCTTCTGGTCTGCAGGCGAATATAGGCAGAATACTGCATACATAATAAATAATAAATCTTAAAAAAAGAAAACTTTTAAAAAAAGAAAAAAAGAAACATTCAAGCCTTGAAAAAAAAAACCTCAAAATCAAACAAACAAACAAACAAAAAACAGAGGGAGGCAACCAGCGGGAAGCGAATTCCAGGCTGGGAAAGAGGCCAGTTCTAAGGTCCTGAGGCAGGAGTGTGTGCCTAGTGAGTTCAAGAGACATCAGGGACAGGTGATGAAGGAAGGAGGGAAGGACGGAGGGGCGGGGAGCAGCAGTCCCAGGAAGGTCTGCCTCAAAACAAAGGAAAAGCAAGCAAATAAAACTCACCCAGAGCTGGGTGGCAGTGTGCACACCTTTAATCAGGAGACTAGAGGCAAGCGGATCTCTGTGAGTTCGAGGCCAGCCTGGTCCAGAAAGAGGCAGCCTAGATAATCAGGAAGGAAGTGGAGATGGGAAGGAAAGAGGCACTCAGCATGGGTCAGATGCTGAGGCCACAGGCGTCAGGCTGGGTGGGGAAGGTGGCAAGAAGAAACCCCTGAAAAAGCCAAGGAGATGGACGAGGAAGGTAGATAGGTGGACACCAGACAGTGGGAAGGGTCCCTGGCCACAGGTGGAATTAAGAAACTTTGCCAAAGGAGTGGAGAGACGATGGCTCAGCGGTTAAGAGCACTGGCTGTTCTTCCAGAGGACCCCAGTTCAATTCCCTGCACCCACATAGCAGCTCACACTTATCTGTAACTCCTCACACAGACATACACGCACGCAAAACACAGATGCACATAAAATAAAACTAATGTAACCCTCTCCCATTCCTACTTAAATATACTCTAGAGTATGACACGAGCCCAAACGCATAAATTACTTTTAGAAGCCAGAGAGGCAGGTGACTCAATGGCACATGGATGGGTGACGGCGAAGATCTTCTGTGGCCTGGTGAAGCAGACCTTATCTTTAACCACAGCCTTCAGGCAGAAAGAGAAGCAAACACGTTTGGCCGCCACTAAGACAGCGGTGGGCGGGGCACAGAGCTAGGGGGCAGGGCTGGAGGCTGTAGGGTCGCGAGGGCGGGGTCAGCGAGTCAAGCTGCGGGCATGCGTGCGGCTCTCAGAGGCTGGTAGTCCTTGGGGGCGTGGCGAAGAAGTAAGAGAAGCCGGTCGGGGGCGGGGCCTGGGAGTTGAGAGCTGGGTCCCGGGAAAGCGCTCCCCCACTTTAGGTCATAGAGGCCGGGCAGAGTAGGGCCGAAGCAGGGGACTAGGGCGTGGCCAGGAAGTTAGGGGCGCGGCTGGGGTGTGGCCGGAGAGTTAGAGAAGCGCGTGGGGGCGTGGCCATGGAGTTAGGATGAGGAACTGAGTCTGGGCCAAGGAGTTAGCCTAGGCATTCGGGGGCGTGGCTAGGGAGTTAGACTAGTGGGTCAGGGGCGTGGCCGAAGAAGAAGGCTAGGGGAACGGGGCGTGGCAGGAAAGTTAGGGGCGGGGCGGGGCGGGTCAGGGGGCAGGGCGTGAGGAGGCCAGGACCGGGACGCTGCGGGTAGTGGAGGCAGGCCCTGCGCGGTGCAGCCAGCCCAGCGCGGTTAAGTGCAGCGTCCCCCGCGCCCGGCTCAGGCAGCTTCGACGTCTCCGTCCCGCGCCCGCCATGCCCGAGCAGCTCAGTGTCGCGGAGTTCCTGGCCGTCACCGCGGAGGACCTCAGCTCCCCAACCGGGGCAGCCGCTTTCGCGGCCAAGATGCCCCGGTGCCGGGGGGCCGCTCTGGCACGGGAGGAGGTGAGGGGCCCAGGCGGGAGGGAGCTCACGTCAATTTGGGGCCTGGGTTTGACCTTTGCCGGAGTACTCGGAGCTACGATGGCTCTTTGAGGCGCTCCAGAAACTCGCCCCTCCTAGATCTGTGGGAACCTAGCTCATCTCAATCATCTGCCTCCTCACGGAGAAACCTGGAAGAGAGGACCAGAGGGTCACCTCGATAGAGACTCCTACATGTCGAGGCACATCTCTCAAATACTTTGGGCGACCTGCCCATCATATCATATGTGTATTTGCTCATTGGCTTACAGCTCTGTGTTTTCGTTTTTGGAGTCCCACAAATATTCAATCCCCCAGGTCAGTCCCTTTCTGAGAAACAGGCTCAGTCCTGAAACTACCTCTCCCTGACTTTAGGAGAGAGGTGGCCCCCTCCTCTTGGCTGCTTGTTCTGAGACTTGGCTCGCCTTGTGGAATGAATGCGAATGGGAAGAGGCGCCAGGAGCCGGGGTTCACCTTGGCTGTCGCGGGCAAGTTTATAGACTCCTCTCCCCTCCCTTCTCCTCTTTGTGTTTCCAAGTAAAGTGTCCCAGGCCCTTTCTTTTGCCCTTGTGGGCTGCCCCACCCCATTCCCATGCTCACTGGAGTTCATTCCTCTTCTCTGAACTCCCTTCAGCTTTTCATCCGTAAGGAATATGCAGTCTGTGGTCTGCAGCCAGAGGAGGATAATGTCCCGCAGCTGTGTTCGAGAGGATGCTCCAAATTGGGGTGGCATCTTGGACTTGAGCGGTACTCTGGACCCCCAACCCTTCACCATAAATGTGCTGCCTTTTGTGTGTGGCAGATACAAAACTACACAGAAATAGTCAGAGCTGAGGTCTTAGGAAATCTCCCTTCTTCCTTTCCCGTGTCTGGCTGGACCACTGTCTGGACTCTTTCCTCCTTGGTAAAGAAGACAGAGAATTGTACAAACTGTCAATTTCAAGTGGTGCTAACCCGTGTTCAGACCCTGACCCTGCAGTTTGCAAGATGGGTGGGACCGGTCATGTGACCTGGCCGGTAAAGTGGGGCTAATTGTTTACCTCTTAGAGCTGTGCAGAGAGGGGAACATTACTGTCAAGGTCATTGACAGATCTCTTTAGGTAGTGACCAGATCTCTTGGAGCTTCATTTCTTGTGCACATAGTAGGAATACTTGGTTTTTGCTGCTGTTTAAGACTGTCTCACTAGAAAGCCCAAGCTGGCCTTAAGCTTGTGATCCTCCGGCCGTGGCCTTTCCAGAGCTGGTGTTACAGGGGTGCACACCATACCTGGGTTTGGAGTACATGTCTTTGTGAAAATGAGAGCCAGTGAGGCTAAGATCGCTTGAGCAGAAGCATTACCACAAATATGGGTGTCTTACTGGCTGTTCTGAGGGAAATGCTACCCCGTAGCCTTAGCCTTGTCTTCAGGAGTGCCTCCTTCACATTTCGGGACATCTTCAAGGATTTTTCTTCTTCTCCAGGTTGTCCACTAGAGTGCTGAGTCAGAGGCGAAGGGGCTGATCCGACTGTGTGCCTGTGCAGCTGACCCTACCTGACTGTCTCAGCATTGGGTCTGGAAATCCAGTGGGCTCTGGAGGGGGCTCAGATTTGCCTCCAGCGAAGGGCAGACAAAAGCCAACCTTTTTTGCCTTCAGATCCACGCGCTTGCAAGCTTTTGTTTTGTTTTGTTTATTGTTTTTGCAGCAGAAAGGCTTGAGGTTCCCAAGCACAGCTTTTCTCCTCAGCTTTCCAGCGTCCCCAAAGTTAGGAGTCTGACTTTCGAATTAGATTTTGATGGAATCTTCTGGTTGGTTTTGTGGTCATGCCTCTCTATTATTATGCTATGCTTACATGCAGTTTGATACTTTTTTTTTCTCCCTCCAGTACCGGGCATGACTAACCTCACTCCAGGCTTGCTTCTCCTGTTGCTTCTTAAATCAAGACTTCTAGGTCTAGGCGGTTTCCTGGAAGTAACTCGGGGCTCTGTCCTAGGACTTGCAAGCCTTTTTTGTCACTCCTACTGGGAAGGACCCTGGAACAGGCCATAGGAGCCAAGAGTGTGTAGGCTGGAGGACCCTGTGAGAGAGAAGTCAGCTAGAATTCCTCTCATTTAAGATGGAGAAACAGATACTGAGAGGACCAGACACTGCCTGAGTTCCCAGAGCAAGGGAGTGGGGGCAGCTGGCATTTCTCCCTCATTGTCTTAACCTCTGGTCCTGCTCTCTTTGTGCAACATTCACCTGCCTGGCCTCCCTCTAGACCGTCTCTAAACCTCAATTATTTCGTCTTGAAACCGAGTCTCCTAATTCCTCCCTGCTCAACCTCACTGGATTGCTAAAGGTTTCTTTGTTTTTCCCTATGAATCTCTGTGCAACATGAGGGAGTATTGAAATAATCCCTGCATCAGATGGCCCCTACCATCCTCGACCCCCCCCCCCCCGCAGCCATCATCCTATTGATTTTCACAGGGAAAATAAGGCAGTTGCCATGTGTGTCACGGCAGGTCCGGCTGGCTGCTGTTTTTGTATAGTTCTCTCTGCCATTTCTGTGCTGGGCATTGCGGATGTAATGATCCTTCTTTGGTTTGCTGACTGGATGGGGACACGCAGCATGTCTTAGGGTAATAAGCAAGAGTTGCCAGGAGCTGTCCTCAGTGTCCAGCAAAAGACACAGTGTTGTCAGAGGCTAAAGGAGCCACTAGGAAGTGAGCCAGTGAGAATCAGTGCAACACTGGAACTTCCTGGAGGAAGTTCTACTTCCAGCTAGATAGAGATGAACCCAGGTTAGCGGAGAACACGAGTGAATTCAGGGACTGGCTGAAAGGAAGCAGATCAAGAAGCCAGGAGACCATTTTGACCTGCGCTCTGCAAGAGGCAGTCTCTGTGGACACGCGCATGCTCCCCGTGTTTGTCTTCAGAGCTGATAGATGGGGGAAGGGTCATGGCTAGCAGAGTGTTTACCAAAAATCTCTATCATGTCTAACAGTGCATAGTTGAAATTCTGATGGAGTCAAAATTACCTTTTCCTTGGTGTGTGTGTGTATGTACATGTGTTTATTTTGAGACAGGGTCTAGCCAAGGCTAGCCTGAAATTTATGACTCCCCCCGCCCCCTTTTCTAGCCTGTTTCTGTGGAAAGGAAGCTTGTTTTAAAGTATTAGAGGTGCCTCTTGGAACTGAGCAGCGAGGCCAGGTAGATGCCTTGTGGCCTGGGAGTTGAGGTTTGGGAGGAGTCAGGGGCTCGGGCAGCTGCTCCATCTATGTCCCCTCCCTCTGTTTTATCCGATTTGTGCTTCTGCTCCCTTCTCCTTACACAGGCCCCAGAGTTCAGGCAGCTTCAGCCCCACACGGTCACGAGACCTCGCTGGTCCAGTGTCTAAAGGTAACCCAGCCAGTCTCTCATGTCCCACTTCCAAGTTCCAGGCAGCCCAGCCCAGCTTTCGGACTGATTACAGAAGCTGGGTCTCCACCCCTCGTTTCATCAACAGAGGTCACGGAGGGATAGATTCAGGCAGGGTAAACATGGCCACAGTTAGTCCTGGGGGAGGAAGACACTTCTTAAAGAAGGAGGACAGGGTCCAGAGACTCCTCCCAGGAACATTCATGAAGCTTCTCTCTATTTGGTGTAGTCTGGCCTCTGCAGAGAGGCCCATGCTGCCAGGAGCCTCCTGTTTAGAACAGTTACATATTATCCCATTGGAATGTTTAGGGATGCTTAGCATCTCGGACTTTGTGCTGGGCATAGGGGATCAAAAATCCAATGGGGTTGACCAAGTACTAGAGGAGACAGCATTACCAAGGGTCTCAAAATGGCACTGTATTCCAAGCTGGGTAGTAGGTGCTGGGAAAGCCCATCCCTCAGCAAGAGAGGTGCAGTCCCTGCCTTAAGCACAGTCTCTTCTGGAGAAGTCGGCCAGGGAACAGATGAGCACATTCAACAGCAATTGCATATGGTAGCAGGTGGCAGGAAGTTCATCCCCTTGTCCAGGCCTTCCTTAAGGCTGGGCCCTGGGTCACCATCTCTCTTCCTGCTGTCTCTCCAGACTGTCTAGCTCGTGACTTCAGTTACCTCTGGCCCCTCAGTGACTCACCCAGCCCAGACTCTCATGTCCAGCGGTTTTGCAGTGGTTTTCCTTAGACCACACTGACAACTCCTCAGGCTGGCCGCCAGGTTCTGTTACACAAGTTGGGAGGCTCATTCCACCAAGGGCCATGGATTTTACCTGCTGTGTGTCTGCGGTCTGCCTGCTTTTCCTTATTGCTTCCTGGTCCACACCTATCAGCTGTCCCCTAGAACACTGTGACCTCCAGCTGGCCTGACTGCTCAGCTTTCTTCTATTTCCCAGGTCCCACACATAAAACTTATATTTATTTTGTTTGGTTTTTTTTATTTTGTTTGGTTTTGTTTTATGTTTTTTTTTTTTTAACACAGAATTTCTCTGTGTAGCCCTAGCTGTCCTAGGACTAGCTCTGTAGACCAGGTTGGCCTCAAACTTACATAGATCTACCTACCTCTGCCTTTCAAGTTCTGGGGATAAAAAGGCATGTACCACTACTGCTTGGCTAAAATTTATACTTATTTGTATAACTATTTCATTAATATTTGGGTTTTTTTTTGGTTTTTAGAGACAGGGTTTGAGCTTGCTTGTAGACCAAGTTGGCCTTGAACTCACAGAGATCCACCTGCCCCTGGCCCCTATGCGCTGGGATTAAAGATGCCACCACCATCCAGCAACATCTGGTTTCTTTACAGAATGCATTTTCTTCTCCTGGAGACTAGACTCTTAAGTTTGGTGTTATAGTTCCAGTTTTACTGTTTTCAGTGTGGCCAGCATTTCAATTTAGGGTGAGTTAGGAGGGTAGGCAGGGGCAGGTCCCATGGAAGCTTGTAGGCAATGCTAGTAACTTATATTTTGCTGTGGTATGTGTGTGACTTTTATTATTATTGTTGCCATCGGCATTTATTATTGTTATTATTATTATTATTATTATGACAGGATCTCATTT